TGCTCTCTAAGCTTAGCTATTTTCTTCCAGATGTTTCATGATCCAAACAAGGCAACATCAGTGGATCTGTTACCAGTTTGGGTAATGAAATGAAAACAACCAAGTCCAGAGAGCACCGAGGTCCTTTAATTCGATTTGAAACCGCCAACCTATTTGTCAATAAATATTAACCATACACATTACAATGGATAATAAGATGCCGCCTGGCCTCCTTCCACAGGGAATTAACCCCGTAAGCTCAACACTCTTGAAAGCCCCCACCGTTCAGAGAAGTAATCGTATGTACACACCTGCAGCTCAATTAAAAATGTGCAGCGTCCAGGGAAGGTGCTTCAGAAGAAAGTTTCCCCTCCCAAACGGCCTCTTCCTTTTCAATCCCTGCCCTAGCAGAGCTCGCACCTGGGCTGCAAAGGGAGACCTGAGCCCACGTGCCTCTATCAGCGGGCAAAATGGCGGACAGAGTCGATGCTTAGCTCTGAAAGGAAGGCAAACATCCTGCTTGAAAAAAAACAACAACCCAGCGCTTGGCAAAACACCGAGTGCATCCAGACCGTCGTGCCAAAGGCCGTTTCTGACCTTCCTCCCACCCGAACACAAAGTTCCAGGTGTGCGTCTGAATATCTGCATCAATATATATATTTATATATATTTAGACCCCATGATCGCTTCCAACAAACAAGCTGATGCCACCCAAACACTCAGCAGCAGGGAATAAATCCAAGAAAGGAGAATATTTTTGTAGCTCGGGGTTGACGGGAGGGCTCCTTGGTCCTCTCTGAGCTTGGTTGGGTTTTTTCTGCCAACGTTTCATTGACCAAACTAGGTAACATCATCAGCAGTGATAACGTTAGTTTGGATAATGAAACAACTGCAAGAAAACAAGCAGGCAAACTTAGAGAACACCCCCCCCACAATAAACCCAGCATTCATTCCCCAGAAATACGTCTTTTACCTCAAGAGATTTTGCTTAGCTTCCCTTATCGGGACGGGTAAATCTTTTCTCCTCAAAGCTTGCCTTAACGTTCCTGTTCAGAAATGAAACCTGCTCCAAAGCTCCCCGCGTTCGCCAGGTCCCATCAAGGGTTAGGAGATCTTACCTTGCGACGGGCACGCGGGAAGGTGAAACCGCCAGCTACGAAATCTCAAAGAGTCCAGCTGCCACTCCTGGATCGGGAAAAGGTAAGCAAAGAAAGGCAGGACCGGCAAGTTTCAGGAGACAAAGGGAGGGATGTGGTTTGACACCTCCGCCGACAGCCTTCACGTGGTTCTGGGGCCTCTGCCGTTCACTTCAAAGAAAAGGCAGCTGAAAAGAAAAGTTGGGCGGAGAAGCATTCGTTAGAAAAACATTTTGAAGAGTAGATAGATATGCTGGATCAGGGGAAAAAATAAACCTCGTTTAATCCAGGTTTCACTTGCCCCATGGTGGCCAACTAGCTGTTCCTGAGAAGCTCACAAATGAACACACCACTTACGCTTCTCAGCAGTGGCCTCCGGTACTCGAAGTGACACGATACCGTCATGCTTAGTCCATGTCAGGAGCCTCCCCCTTCGTGAATGTAAGGTGTTTCCCCCCCAAGGCCTTCCAGGAGAATCATTCATAACCTTCCGTCGTGGATCAACAGGTTTGTGATGCACCAAGGGAGAGAGAATTCTGGAAGAAAACCTTGTTGCTGTGTGAAGCCAGAAGGCGGGAGGGGAAATTAGTTTGGACCGATCAAACTAGACACACAAGGTAAAACGGAGACGGACGATGGAGCTGTGAAGGAGGCTCGGGCAGGTAGCTGAACTTAAGAGCAGCCTTAAGCCGGTCTCGGCAACTTTCTGTGGGCCTGTTGACTGGGGAATTCTGGGAACTGAAGTCCACATATCTGAAAGAAACGCTGACTTAGTGAAAGATAATAGCGCAAGGCTATCAGCACAAAAGCTCAAGAAATTGGTTTAAGGGAAAAGTGCTTTAAACAGCAATTTCTTGTTTTCTTTTTTTCCTCATATGTTTAGCCTGACTATTCCTAGAGATCTTAGAAACTGGTTTACCTTTTAGTAGCAGTTCGGTTGAATTAAGAAAAGGGTTGCCTAACTATGGACTGTGCGAATGAGTTTGCAAATTCCTCTATAATCCATTTTTTTTAAAAAAAGCACATAACATGTAAACACTGGCACATAAAATTAAGCTCTTTATATGCAAAACCCTTACTTATGCTAGACTAGAGCATTCAAGAGTTGCTTTTATCATAAAATACTCTTCCAGGACCTCTATCTAAAGAATATATACATTTCTTTAATTGTAGCAATAAAAAAAAGATTTTAATAGATGTCAGGGAGCCATCAGCTAGTGCCCAAAGCTATTCAAGGTGTAACCTACGATCCCCAGAAAACCGATGGGGAAGTTAATAGCTGCCTCTCAGTGCAGAAATCAAGAGAATGTGTAAGGATTGCACCCATATTCAACTTTGTAAAAGCAAGTTTCGCTTTGTGTCCACGAGAGGGCACCAACGTCCAACCCCCTGAATTACCACCTGTTTTGCTAATCTGGACTACTACAAGAACAGCTAAATGTTAGCTACACCAATTACACCCAGTCTTCTTCAAATAAACACAGGAACACAGAAAAAACAACAACAACATATTATCTTGTGGTATCAAGCTGATTATATTTAATTGTCACTGATGACAGCTTTATGTAAATGATGGAAACAAAAGCATCATGGGTAGTTCAAAACTGCTACCCTGCATAAATCAACGTTTTAACACTTCAAACTATGCTTCTTCAAAAGTGCCTTCCTTGGTTAGCTCAAGGAAAGAAAGAAGGGAGAGAAGGGGAAGAAAGGAAAGAAGGAAGAGGGGAAAGAGAGAAAGAAATGAATGAAAGAAAGAAAGAAAGAAAGAAAGAAAGAAAGAAAGAAAGAAAGAAAGAAAGAAAGAAAGAAAGAAAAAAGAAAGAAAAAGGCTAGATAGAAGTTAAGATCAAATCTCATTTTGTCTTGTTTTTCCTCTAAGACAATTAGAACAAATTGCTGAAGTTAACTGGATATTAATCGAATTCACCCTCCCAACATGTTAAAGTAAGTAGAGGAAGGCTCTAAAGCAAGTGTGTCCAGTCTTGGCTACTTTAAGACCTATTGCTTGTTGCTGGGGAATTCTGGGAGTTGAAGTCCACAAGTTTTAAAGTTGCCAAGTTGGGCATCCCTGTTCTAAAGAAATCTTCCAGAAATACTACTCCTGCTAAATTAAAACTTCAATTCAATCATAATTTCAGTTGTTAGTGGCGTCAATCAGGGCCAAAGTCCCCAGAGATGACTTCATGGGATGAGACCTATTTTGGATTACACCTTTGCATTGAACTCTATGACCTCCCCTAAAATTTTTGGCACCAGACGGCTAAGTCCCTTTGCTCAGTTTACTTGTTTGAATTACATCCTGCCTTTTCTCCAGCAGCACAGAAGAATCTTCTTTTCATTTATCCTCCCAAAAGCAGTTGGGGGTGACAGGGACTTGCCCAAAATTAGGTAGAGAACACCCCTCCAGCTCGCCTTAAGGAAATGAAGACAGAAGGCCCCAAGCATCCCCTGTTCATGTCGAGGTGGGTTTTTTTAATAATCAGAAAAATAGCGTTCCTCGATCTTTGCTAATCTCTTCATTTTTCTTTCTTTGCAGCTGGCTTTTCTTTCTCCGAAGACAGGTTCTGTTCTTGCTTCTTGGCTGGTTGCTGACCAGCGCCTGCCCCGACACCCACAGTCTGTCCAGATTGGGCCTCAATGACAGCGTGTTCCTTTTTCACCAGTTCCTCCAGCTCTTTCTAAGGGGGAGAAAAGAGAAATCCACCTAAGGAACCAGAGTTGGCAAACCACCCCCTTCCCAGTAAGGCCCCAGAGGGAGCCAAAGAGAATCCCATTCATTTTTATATCTGGGCTCTTCTCAGTGATTTTGAAATGGGAGAGATACCTTCCATCCCAACAGCTCTGCCAAAGCCAGGCAGCCCTCATCACAGTCTCCCAGCCATGCGACGTCCCTGAAAAATTAAGTGGAGTGGGAACCGCCCCCCCCCCAAAAAAAAGAATGGTAAATAAAGGAACTCCAATTTATTGGTTTTTATACAGAGCTGACAAAGCATTCCAAGACAGATAGCAATAGCGTTTAAAATTATATACCACTTTATAGTGCTTTACAGCCCTGTCAAAGTGGTTTAGAGTCAGCCTCTTGCCCCCAACAATCTGGGTCCTCATTTTATCCACCTTGGGAGGACAGAAGGCTGAGTCAACCTTGAGCCTGGTGGGATCTGAACTTCCAAATTGCAGGCAGACAATAGTCAGCAGAAGTGGCCTGCAGTACAGCACTCTAACCACTGCGTCACAGATGCCTCTTTTCTTCCAGCAATCTTTACAACTACCTTGTAGTCGGGTGGATCTCCCTAGCAGGACCATCTCCGTAAAACACCTGGGCTATGAAGACCAAGAGTGTCCCCAAAGGTGCTTTTTCCCCGCAAGAGCTGAAAAAGCTTCTTGGATGAGAAGTGAAACCTCTTCAAAGAAAAACAAGAAAGCCCAATTGCTTCTTGAAAAAAAAAAAAAGCACCTTTGGGACAACCATGACTTGGATGACTGAGAATCTCCATAGACAAGACCAAGAGTAGCCCACTTAAAGCCACCAGGGGAACTCAGGGGACCACAAAGCTGCATTAGATACACCAGGGGAACTGAGCATGTCAGAATTATTGGCTTAAACTTTATTTTATTTAACTCCTAAGTGAAGTCTCTTACCCAAGACTATTGCTTGGCACCAAAGCACTGAACAACACCCCACCTCCCATGGGTTAACCCTTAAGTTCTCGGCATCCACCCTGCCACAATCCTGCGCCCCATACTGAACTTGCCTGTATGCCTTCTCCGAATCAAAATCCATCCCGCAGCCTAAGCCCATCAGGGACATGAAAGGATCACTCTGAAATGAGACAACAAATGTAAAAATATCCTCTTGGAGGACTCCAAAATGGTGAAAGTTTTAAGGTGGAAGATCAGCAGAGAACTATCATGATATAAGCTGGCTCGGGAATTCTGCAAGTTGAATTCCACGGGTCATAACATTGAAATAATTTTAGGGTAGAGAGTAGGGAAGATGACCTGGTTGGGGATAGGCAGGAGATGTTGCCTGGGCTAAAAAGCATATTTTGAAAAGGCCAGAGCAACAAGATAGCATTCAGAAGCAGCTCAAGCCAATGCCTTCTTGATTCTCAGAGGTATAAGAAGCATGTCAGCTCAGGAATTCTGGGAGCTGAAGTCCACGGCCTGAAAAGCTGCCGTAGCTGCCCACACCCTGGCTCTATTCCCAGGAGCTTCCACTCTGTGGCAGACCAAAGAAAGCAGGTGGCAAACCTAACCTCACCTCTCCAGTCTTCTCCTTATTGATCAGAAGCCGTGGGGTGTTTGGGGGCACCCTGGAAGAAACAGAGAGGAGCAACCCTTTAGCGACGGTTCCTGCAGAGTCTTGGATCAGAAAAGCCAGCCCTCCCTTACCCAGCCCAGGGTCACTGACCTGCTGACCAGAGAGGCGAAAGGCTGGACCTGAAGGGAGGTACCCATGATAATAAGCATGTCCGCATTCTGGAAATCCTGCAAGCAGAGGGTTAGTGTGAAGGATGGCGGGCACCTGAAGAACTGTGTCCCGGTTTCTAACCTGGTTTCAAACACCCTGGTCTCTGAAATCGTGCCCTCTGGAAATGTTCCTTTGACCTTTCATTTATTCAGGCCTAGACAGACTTTGCTGCCCCGTGTTATTATGGTCATGACAGACCCCTGCAGTGTTAAGGCTCTTGGTTGTAAGACTTATTCAACAGAGAGGAAAGCTCTAGGTTCCTGCAGTGTGCAGATACAGGTGGTCCTCAACGTACGACCAGAATTCAGCCCCAAATTTATGTGGCCAAGGGAGAAATTTGTTAAGTGAGTTTTGCCCCGTTTTACAACTTTTCTAGCCACATTTGTTAAGTGAATCACTGCAGCTGTTCAAGTAGTAACACGGTTAAGCGAATCTTTTGTTAGTCAGAAGGTTGCCAAAAGGGATCACATGACACACACACACACACACACACACCCAGGACAGCGCAACAGTCATAAATATGAACTGGTTGTCAGCATCCGAATGTAAATCATGTGACCACGGGATGCTGCGACGGTCATACGTGTAAAAAATGGTCATATCACTTTTTTCCAGTGCTGTTGTAACTTCAAATGGTCACTAAGCGAACTGTTGTTAAGTCGAGGACGAGCCGTACAGGATTTCAAATGATTACATGCTGCATGGGGAGGGACCTCTGCCTATAACACTGAAGGTTAATGTGCTAATCTGCTTAGAGTGCAAGATCCAGCTAATGTTTGCCCAACGTTTTGTTCCTCTGGGAGAAAGATACAACTCCATGGAAGCCGAATGCTTTTTTTTTTAAAAAAAACATCCTTTATCTCTATGCCTAAAACATTTGTGCCCTATTTTCATTCACCAGATTTCCTGACCAATTATGGATCACGCCTGACCAGTTAGCATACATTACTAGCATCCTTTCGCCTGGGGAAATTTTAACTCCTTAAATAAGGATTCAGAAATCCTGGGTCTTGGGAGACCTCCAACCTGGGGCTGCCAGCGTCCCGAGTCCAAAGGACAAACGACTGAAGCACTTACCGACTGCATGAGAGAGAAGAAACGCGGAGGCAGGTTCTCTCCAAAAAAGACGATGTCTGAAGGAAGGAAAAGAAAGCAGAGCCTTGGGTTGGGGGCTCCCTGAAACCTGATCGATAAGCACCAAGATCCCAGGACGTGGCTCTGAGGAGTGACTGGGTCAGATGCTCACCTGGCTTCACTACGCTCTGACATTTTTCACACCTGGGGGTGAGAGATGCAAATATTTTTTCTGAAAGAAAAAAGAAGAGCAATGCACCTGAGCCAATTCCGTTTGCAGCTAATTCATGATTTGACATCAGTGGCAGCGGTCCAGGTTCCTTGAGGGATTGTCCCACCCCACTGGGATTGGTCCGTACCACCTGTGCAGGCAGAGGAGGCACGCCGCCTCACCTCCAGTATCCCAGCTGGTGGGGTCCGGGAGGAGGGCCTTCTCTGTCGTTGCTCCTGACCTCTGGAACATCTGGCTTCCCCCTCCCCCAGATGTGAGATGGGCCTCAACCCTCCTATCTTGCACACCAGAACAACTAGACACAAGGAGAGTTTTTCCCCCAACGCCATCACTCTGCTAAACAAATAATTCCCTCAACACTGTTCAATTCTTTACAATAATAATAATAAGTTTATTCCAAAGGATTTTTTAAAATATTTTCTTTACCCCTTTGATCCCTTCCAGAAGGCCCCTGATTACGTCTTCCCTGCTTCCAATGCCTGACCCTCACCTTTCATCCACTCCAGACTGTAGGACGTCTTGCAAGTTGAGCTGATGCAATGGGAGGTATAAAAGGTGCCATGAGCTTCCACTAAGTGTTCGGCATCCAGACCGGCCACCCGCTCCAAGGTGTCGATGTTCTGGAAGAAGGCAAGAGGTTTGAAATAAACCCAACCTCAAATGGCCGTCAATCAATCCTGGAGCTAAATCTGACTAGGAGTCTCCGAGAGGGGCTCAGCCTGCTTCAAAGACTCAATGCAAGGGTGTGCACAATGGTAATTGTAGTCCCAACGGCACCATCATGGTTATTGTTGGTCTCTAGGAAGGAGGAGCTACTGAAAGAGGGGAGCATGATATTAATAAATGATAAACAGGATGCTGGAACATTAACAGAGAAGAAAAGTTTCCCTCTGTCTTGAAGATATACCTAGGGAAAAGCCTGGCACTGAAAAGTTCCAGCTCTGCTATAAATCATCTTACTGGCTCACAGTCAAGAAGACTCAGGCAAAATTCACTTGCTGCAATGCACCATTTCAAAGCGAGAAAATGCTAACGGCCCTTATTTATTTAGGAGGCAGGAATAATATAACAAAAGCTTTCATTGTTCTAAAGCACCAGCCCCAAAGACCAGAAAGAGACCTAAAGGGAAAAGGAGTTATTTACCTGAGTGTAGCAGCGTAGCAGCAGCCCTTTATCCTTCAAAAGGCGAATGAAGTAGTGACAGACTGTGGGCTGAAAAGGACCAGAGCCTTAAATGTCATATTTTCTTTTCACAAAGGAAACCAAAGGGGTAGTTTTTATTTATATGTTTATTCATTCATTCCGACACTTACGGGACTTATGGCAGTTAACATCATCACATTAAAACATCCATTGTAAATTAACAATAAAACATCCACGGCGGTTAAATGAAACAATAAACCACAGTAAATTAATCCATAATCAATTGACAACAGCACAAAAAACATCAGTTCATTAAAACCTGCAGATGACACGGAGCAATCAACAAAAGAACTTGGTGTGTGGCATCTTCTGGAACAAAGCCAGACAAGGGAACTTTGATTTCAACAGAGGGGCTGTTCAAAAAGGGAGGCCCCACTCCTAAAATGTTATACCTATGTACCTCAACCCAATTCATTTCACACAAGAGGGGCAGGGGTGGGATTCCAATTTTTTAACAACCGGTTCTGTGGGCCTGGCTTAGGTGGTGGGCGTGGCTTGGTGCTCATGTTATTGGCTGGGCGTAGCCAACTCAACATCACTCACATCGAGGCACGCCTCTCCTTGCCTGGCCTCTCCTGACTGTCGGGATGCTGCAACAGTCGTAAGTGTGAAAAATGGTCATAAGTCACTTTGTTCAGTGCCATTGTAACTTTGGTCACTCCACACAAGCAAAGTACCAGCAAAGGAGGGGGAAAAAACCCCAGAGACGTTCCTGAGACAGGAAGTCTAGTCCTGCCAAGAATGTAATAAGGGTTAACGGAGAGGCAGGTTCTGTAAGCAACACCAGAATGTTTCCTTCCTGCCTTCCTTACAGGATTAGGCCAGTAAATTCTTCTAACAACCGGTTCTCCGAACTGCTTAGAATGTTAACACCCGGTTCTAGCGAATAGGTGCGAACTGGTAGAATCCCACCCCTGAAGAGGGGCATTGATAGTAGTCTCTCTGGGGACAATCTAGTCCAGTGGTCCCCAACCTTTTTTGTACCAGGGACCCGTTTCAAGCAGAAACACTTTTTCACCCCCACCCCGCCCACCCACGCGCGGTTCAACCCAGTGCTCCGTTCTGCCTGCCTGCCTTAGTTTCTGGTTGTTTGGGAGTAGCTTCGGCTGAGAATAATAACTATTCGCCTCTTTTACTCAGCCGAAGCTGTTCCGAATCAACCATTAACGAAGAAGGCAGGCAGGCAGGCAGAACGGGGCACTGAATTGAAGTGCGCGCGGGCGGGCGGGGTGGGGGTGACCGGGCGCTGCGGCGACAGGAAAAGCCACCCCCGCCCCAGCTTCTTTGAAGCAGTCTCTTCCTGGGCTGGTGGAGCAGCGAGAGAGCGACTGAGAGAGGAACGAGGCGGGAGGAAACCGAAGCTGCTGAGCCAGAGAGCAGGACAGGCTTCGGTTGCTTCCTCCCTCCCCTTCTTTCATTGTGTCCTTGATCCCCGATCCCAGCAGCATTCACCGAAGGCGAAGAAAGCTGCCATTTTTTTTTCTTTGCGGCCCGGTACAGAGTGCTCCGCGGCCCGGTACCGGTCCGCGGCCCGGTGGTTGAGGACCCCTGATCTAGTCAGTCAGGTTAATTCTAATTGAAGAATGCAGTTCTGCAGGTGTGCGTTTATTGTATGGGAATTGTATTGTAACCAGTTCTGATAAAGAAATGTCCCTCTTCCCAAACACTAAAAATTGTTAAGAAAATTCAGAGGATGTAGTGCTGGTTCTACTTTAAAGCCTCTTAGCCCCTCACTTAAAACCTCTTAAGAACTGATTGTGAGCACCTCTCTAAACTAGAAGCAGACCAAAACAGAGGTGGACTTCAGATCCAGCTACTCAAGAGTGTGAAGGGGGCGCGGGGGGCACTTGTTAGGAACTCTTTCAGGCAGCCATTTCTTCTCCTAAGGCGACAAGATTGCTGCAGGATTGAGTTTAAATCCCTGCCCACCGCTCAGGAAATATGAAAAACTATCTGACCTTGAACTGCCCTGGGTAGAGCTCCCGAGCCAAGGCGAAGAATGGTTCTGGGTTTTGCTAAATGAAAACAGACATCAAATCAGTTATGCCAAAGAAAACAAAGCACAAGAGAGCACCGTATTCAGCTCACGTAAATAGCAAGCGGGTAACTCAGCCTGGTACCTTGAAGTAGCCAATCTCAAAGATGGCTTCGGGATATGGTAGACTGTATTGCTGCAGATTGGCATATAGCCCCGTGCCAGGTGAGCGGAAATCGGGGATCCCCGCACCTGAGAGGCAGAAAGGCAGATGAGGAGACCAAATGGATAGCTGGAAGCAGCTGAATAGAAAACTAACTAAGGATACATTCTAAGGATAGGGGCTCATTTATTCTGATGCTACAGAGCACCAACACAGTTTGAGCTAAGAGGCAGATACTGTACTTGAGGTTCCCAGCTCCATTATTTCAAGCCCAGCTTAGAACAAAGGGGAGAAATTATTCTGATTCGCCAGAGTGCTTCTTGTGAACATTGTTTCTCTATCCTCCCAGAAAAAGAGTTTCCTAATTAAAAAAAAAAAATCTCTGTTGCAGGATAAGAGCACACCTTTTCAGATTGAGTAGAAAAAAAAAACTCCTTCAGACCCCTAACTATGTAAAGGCAGTTTCTAATTTTATCAACCAGCATCACATTCTGCTCCTACATTTGCACAAAACAAACAAAAAAAAAAGACACATAAGACACATGATCGGCAAAGCCATCGTGACACTTACTAGTTGAGATTCCTGCACCAACCATACAGATTATATTCTTGCCTGCAAGAGAAAGACATTGCGCCTTTCAATATCTACCCCTGAATTCCACCATGCCACCCTCATACCCTGAAAAGCATCAACTGCTTGACATGGGCATCCAACCATTGGAGCCTCAGCAACTGAGAAGCCACAGAATTTTAGAGGCTGGGATTCAAATTCTTCTGCTAAGAGCCTGACTACTTTGGGTGGCCCTGGGAAAATAACTTTTGTCAACAGCAGTCCCTGTCGGTAAAAGTACCCGTGGCCAAGGCAAGCGTGCAGAGATATACTGATAACAGCATTTAACTACAACACACAGAGGTGCCAAACCTCCCTCCTCCCTTTGATCTACACCACCACCTGCATCACAAGCTCTTCCCCTCCCCCCGCACCTTTTTTCATCCACTTCAGAGGCTGATAGAAAAAGGGAAAGAGCAAAATATTTCACTCTCTAGAAAGAACTGGTTTACATTTCTCAGTGAGAATGAAGTTGGTCACGCCTTCCAGCGTCAGTTCCTCCAGCACCTTCTCGGGCTTCTCGCTGCCGAAGCCCAGAGTCCGGGAAAAGAGGTTTCGCAAAAATTCCACTGGTAAGAAAGAAAAATAAAATCGCAACATTATCACGTGCCTTGAAGAGCTGAGATCTGTGCCGACAGAAGAGATAATCAGTGCACTAATGAAGTTACCTAAAGGTCTGCAAGGAAAACCACCAAGCTCAGAGAGCACCATGGACCCCCACAGTCCTCCACAAAGCCTACTCCCTTGTAGCACTGATGTTACCCTAGTTGGGTCATAAAACGTCTGCAGGAAAATAACCAAACTCAAAAAGCGCCAGGGACCCCATGAGATCTCTGCATACCGTGCTAAACTCTTACCTGGAGAAAAATCTACCCGCGGCTCAAATGCTGGCTATTCTACGCTTTATATATAAAAAAATTGCTAATGTCTTCAAACAGTGTTTCTCAACCTTGGTATCTTTCAGCCGGATGGACATCAAGTCCCAGAATTCCCCAGTCAGCCATAGGGAATCTAGTTTGAGGCTTCTCTAGTTTGTTTTGCCTCACTCCAAGAAGATTGTTAAAAAAGGGGAAAAAACAAGATCCCCCTCGTTTTAGAGAAGTGTAACTCTGAAAGACGCACTGTTGTTGTAGGAACTCATTTCCTCTATTCTATTCTTATTTTTGATAAATAAATTCTGATTTATGTGCTCCACTGGAGATTTGCTCACCTTGTCATGAGGCAGCTGACACAAAGTACAAGCTCACTAATAAATGGACATGTCACTGTTGCCTAGAGACAGAAGTCATGTGTCTCAATGGATTAAGGCCAGCCTTACCTTATTCCAAGCCAAAGAATGTAATTATAATGCTTGATTACATAGCTACCATGTACAGCAAATATTCTTATCCTGGGTTTCACAATTCAGGGGGTTTCTATGCCTAGAAATAATTTTTCATTAACTATAGGAAGACATTTGCAGGTATCAGGAGAGCCTCAATTTATACATTCACAATATTTAAAGTAAAACATGAGCTCCCACTGGATAGTTGCTTACTTTCTGTCTGGCCAGAAGCTCCTCCTTCCTCATCAGAATCTGAACTCTGGAAAGAAAGAAAGGAGGGGTGTCATTTCTTAGAATTCCTTAATATTAATTGAATTTATTGTTAATATTAAGTCTGGCCAATCTTGCCTGGCCTCAACCTGAGCAGGGTTAAGGCCTGTTAAGCACACTCCCCCCAAAAACTGTGAAATTCCAGAATGTCCCAAATCTATCCTTTCCTAAAAATGTATTTTTAAGTGGCTCCGGCACTTTTTCCAGAGCTGAGGGTGCTTTCTGGCCTCAAACTCAGAAACGCTCTAGCCTCAGTATGGATCAGTGTTTCATCATCAGCATTTCTGGAGAAAAGATATAAGGGCATTCCATTTGAATTTAAACCTGTGCCCAGAGAAGAATGAGCCTCTGAAATGGCAAGAAATATCCTTTTATACGAGTGTTTCTCAACCTGGATAGCTTGAAGATGGACTTCAACTCCCAGATTTCTGCTGGCTGGGGAATTGTGGGAGTTGATGTCCACAGGTTTTCAAGCTGCCCAGGGTTAAGAAACACCATTTTATACTGTCTATTCCACATTAAATCCAATTCCCCGGTGATTCTGATCAGTTTTATTTACAATCATCAACTTTCTTCTCAAGTGTGGCTAAATTTTGTCACTTGTTTGTAATATATGCAATAGTTTGAATGACAAGCTTGATTAACTGCACAACTAATGCAAGTGTTAATGTAATTCTGACTTATTTGTATGTATTATGCATTATTTAGATCTTGATATGTTTACTTAATGACATATGTAATCAGTGTATGACCACAATTGGGACCAGAACTCCCATCGCTAAGCAAGACGGTTGTTAAGTGAGACCCACCTGACTTTATGACCTCTTTTGCAGCAGCCCTCAAACACAATCATTGCAGTTGTTAAGCGAATCCAGCTTTCCCCATTGACCCTGCTTGGCAAATTTTGATCACGTGAGTGTGGAGATGCCGTGACGGTCGTAAACGCAAGGACAGGTTCTTAAGTCCCTTTTTCCAGTGTCATCACTTCAAGCAGGCACTTAATGGTGGCATATTTGTGTACGTCATGTATTTTTAGGACCAGCTGTAATAAAAGATCTACAGGCCGTCCCTGACTTACAACTGTTCGCTCAGTGTGACCGTTCAAAGTCACAACGGCACTGAGAACAGTAACCTGTGACTGTTTTTCATTCTTACGACCGCTGCAGCATCATTATGGTCACATGATCAAAACTGGCCACTTGGCAACTGACTCATATTTATGACGGTTGTAGTGTCCCAAAGTTACGTGAGCCCCCTTCTTTTGGACATGGTTCCAAGCAAAATTAACAGGGAAGCAGGATTCACTTCACAACCCTGCTACTCACTTAACAACCGCGGCACAAATGGTTGTAAAAACGGGAGCCAAATTCAATCAACAAAGGAATCAATCAGGAATCCAGCTGGAAGGGGCCTTAGAGGTCTTCTAGTCCAGCCCCCAGCTCAAGCAGGGAGACCCTATTTGCCATTTCAATGTTTCACTTAGCAACAAAAATGTGGGGTTCACTTGTGGCCGTAAGTCGAGGAGACGGGATCCCCAGGTACCCAAACCATACCAGATTTTAAAAGGATGGACCCCCCCCCCATATTTTTTTTTTTATATTTTTTGTTTTTTTTGGAAAATCCTAAGGGGGGGGGAGAAAATTGGCATAGCAGCAGGATTTTCCTCAGAGGGTTTTCTCCCCCCTCACCTGACTACCATCCAGCTGAGGCGGGGATGATGGGCTTGGAAGTGCAAACCCCCCCCCGCCGCCGCCTGAAATGATATTTTAAGAGTCCTTATTCTGGGACTCGAGCCCGGGGAGCTCTACCGGTTGGATTTCCACCTGATGGACAGCGCTCCGGGCGCCCCCTTCCCCTCTGTGGGGGCACAGCCGCCTAGAGAGAAGGCCCTGGGGGGGGGGGGGTTTGGAGCGACGGCCCCCCCAATTTCGCCCCCTAAATCCTCACCGAGGACTTCGAGGCCTTTTCGGCGCCTTGTTCGGGACTGGCGGCAGCGCCTGTGACAAGGGAAACAGAAGGAAGAAGGGGAGACGGGGCAGGAGCCCCGGGCTTCCTCAGCCCACCGGTTCCCTCAGAGGCACCGTTACCTTCCCGGCTTGCCATGGAAGGTCGCGTCGCCGCTCCGTCGAGAATCCGAACAGACCGTTGGCTCCCTGAGAGGAAAACTACAAGTCCCGAAAAGCCCCGCGGGCGAACAGCCAATGGCCGACCAGCTTTACAAACAAACAACCTATGACGTCACCGACGGGCGAGACCGTTCGGGCTCGCCGAACCACGGCTAGGGTCGAGGGGGCGGGGAAAGAGAAATTGCAAATAACGCCCATCTCCCTTCAGGCTTTGCGCTAAGTTGGGGGAGGGGGGTGCGACGTCGATGAAGTGTGAAACCGTCCTTCCAAATTAGGGCCTCCTCGAAGCCAAAAAAATTAGACGGAGGCGAATATAAACGAATAGTAACGTAAACGAGAGGACGTTCTAAAGGGAAACACCAAAACGTGAAAAAAAGGCCAATGTTATCCAAAACTCTTACTCGCAGGACTCCACTTCCCATCATACCTCGAGAAAAAAAAATAATATGGAGCCGCCGTCTTTTTTTCTAAAGCGCAGGCGCAGAGGGAGGGGGGAGAAAGAAAAAAAAAGGAACGACGGCCAGGAGCGTCACTACAACTCCCGGCATGCCTCTCTTCGCCCGATAAGACGCTCACCCCGGGGAATCCCCAGGCCGCTGAAATTCCCCTTCATGGCATCCTCGGCCGGGCCGGCTGCTTGAGTTTCTCGCCCCCCCCCGGCGGATTTTGGGGGCCCGGCCTCCGCGATGGCCCCGCTGCCCGTAGTGGGGGCTCCTCTGTAGGCCCGTCCCGAGCCATGGCCTTCGTCCAGGGACAGCCCGGCCAGGGCGGCCCCCGAGAGCCCAAGAAGCTGGAGGCAGGGGGCGAGGAGTGGTGCGACAGCGGCCTGGGCTCGCTCAGCGAAGGGCAGCTGGTCCAGCTCCAGGAGGATGGAGGCCTGGGAGTCCCTGAGGGGGTCCCTGCGGGCTGCCCTTTGACCTCTGACCCCAGAGCCCCCCAGAAGTCCCTGGAAGAGGAGGAGGAGGAGGGGCGCCTGGACTCGGCCCTGGGGGGCGACGAGGAGGTGGGAGACCTGGTGGAAGGAGTGGGGGGCGTCCACCTCCAGAGCCAGGTGGGCCCCGAGGCTTGGCTGCGCCACGTCTTGGGCTTCGTCACGGAGGATGGAGACACGTAGGTAGCCCAGGTTCTTTGCGGGTGGGTGGGGGGCGAACTTGGGGTCCCTGGGGAAGTGGGGGGCACACGACATTGAAAATTGGGGTGGGTGGGAGCCTCACCTGATCACCTGCTTAAGGACCGCACAACATAACCGTAATTCCGGGGCTCGATGGCGATGCTAAGTCGAGGATGTAACTACCTCCACAGGTAAATCCTCGGCTTAACGACCGCCGCCCAGCCCCCCTGAATTGGGGGGTCGCTGAGCGAGTTTTTGCACACCCTCTTTTTTTCACGACCTGTCTCACCTGGAGTTTTTAATCCTGGCAATCCGTAGCCTTTAACTGTATAGAATGCGAAGGAGGTGTGTGTTTTGTGTGTTTTTTATTTTGATACTTATCATGTACGCCGAAGGGGGCATTTAATTTCGTTGTACGAGGTGCAATGACGATAAACTAAACTAAAATTAAGTTGGTATGGGAATCTGGTGTCCCCGCTGAGGTTTGCTTTAAGGGAGGTCGCAAAAGGGGATCGCGTGTAACCTGGGATGCTGCGACTGTCATATATATGAATCGGTTGCTAAGCACCTGAATTTTGACCAAGTGACTGTGGGGAGGCTGCAGAGGTTAGAACTGTGCGGGGGAAAAGTCACTTTTTTCAGTGCCATTTTAAGTTGGATCAGTCATGAAATGGTTGTAAGTCGAGAACTATCTATACTGCAGAAACGTTTGGCATTTTTTAAACCACGTTTGCTCTTTCCTCTCATTCCAGAGCTCTTCACCTGGCGGTGATCCATGAACATGAAGCTTTCCTGGATTCTATTCTGCAGTACACCCATGGAACCGATTACCTGGATATTCAGAATGATCTTGGCCAGGTGAGACTGCAGGGTACTTGCCTTCGCTTCCAGCTGTCCCGGCAGTCCCCAAATTTATAAGTCACAATAAGACGACTTGCTTGGGGCAGACCTGAGGACAGAATTTGTGCTGGTTAAATTTTAAAAGATGAAAGCTCAGAACGAATAAAACAATGAGATCGGGAACCTTCTAGGCCTGGTGTCAACAGTCTTGCTAAACAAATAATAGTTTTTGTGTTCTCTTACACAAACAAGGGCGTCCAACCTTGGCAACTTGAACGCTTGTGGACTTCAACGCTCAGAATTCCCCAGTCAGCATGGAATAAAAAAAATAAAAAATCTTGTTGGACTTGTTGGGAGTTGAAGTCCACAAGTCTTAAAGTTGTCAAGGTTGGACATGCTTGTTATAAGAGAACACCAAAACTTAAGTGTGAAAAACACACCTTTTCACCTTTCCTTCTCTTTCCCGCACTTTTAGACTGCACTTCACATCGCTGTCATCCTCGGGGCATCCAGCTTTGTTGGCAAACTGGTGTCGGCAGGAGCCGGGCTGGGCGTCCAAGAGAAAGGAGGCCATACGGCCTTGCACTTGGCGTGCCGAGAGGGGTGGCGGGATTGTGCCGAACAGCTGCTGGCGCCGCTCACCGTCCAGAGGCCCTGTCAGCGCAACCGTTTCCAGGCCCAACTGGACTGCACCAATTATGATGGTAAGCAGCATCCATGAAATAGATAGAACTAGGGGTCAAGGGTGGGATTCAAATTTTTTAACAACCGGTTCTGTGGGCGTGGCTTAGGTGGTGGGCGTGGCTTGGTGGTCATGTGACTGGGTGGACGTGGCTTGGTGCTCATGTTATTGGCTGGGTGTAGCCAACTCAATATCACTCACATCGAGGCACGCCTCTCCTCGCCTGGCCTCTCGTGACTGTGGGGATGCTGCAACAGTCGTAAGTGTGAAAAATGGTCATAAGTCACTTTTTTCAGTGCCATTCTAACTTTGAATGGTCCCTCCACACAAGCAAAGGACCAGCAAAGGAGGGGAAAAAAACTCCAGAAAAGTTCCTGAGACAGGAAGTCTAGTCCTGCCAAGAATGTAATAAGGGTTCACGGAGAGGCAGTTTCTGTAAGCAACACCAGAATGTTTCCTTCCTGCCTTCCTTACAGGATTAGCCCAGTAATTTCTTCTAACAACCGGTTCTCGGAACTGCTTAGAATGTTAACAACTGGTTCTAGCGAATAGGTGCGAACTGGTAGAATCCCACCCCTGCTAGGGGTGGGCTGCTGGGGGTTCAGGAGAGCCCCTAGCTAAGATTCTGTGCAATTCAGAGAACCCCCAAATCCCACTCCTGGCTGGCTTTGCTCACCCCTCCCCTCCCAGGAGCCCGTTTTGGATGCAGGTATGGGCAGGGCGCACAAACAGGCTCAGGGAGGGCGAAAAATGGGCCTCCCAGAAGTTTGGGAAGGCCGTAAATCGGCCCGTTTCCAGCTTCCGGAGAGCCTCCGAAGCCCGGGGAGGCCCTTTTTGCCCTCCTGGAGTCTCGAGGAAAGCCTCAGGAGCCCGGGGAGGGCAAAAACGCCCCCCCCCATGGAGCAGGTGGCCGAGTAGGCCACACCCATCGTGGCCACGCCTACCCAGCAACTGGGCAGAGAACCCCTTGCTAAAATTTTCGAAGCCCACTCCTGGATAGAACCCTCCTCTTTGAAGCCTGTTGTAAACAGGGAGAGAGAGAGAGAGAAAACTCTGAGCACAAGTTTCTAGTCCTCATGGCTGGGGGAAGTTCAGAAAATCACTGGCATGCCTTCAAAATTCACACAATTTAGCTATCCGTTGATGAGCGGGTGGGCTTGTAACCTCGTCTCTGTTGTTTGTTTATTTTGTACTTAATAACATTATGTACTTATTTTGACTCCTAACTGGAGAGCCTGATTGATGACTCTGGGCTATGGATGTGTCCCATTGGAAGATATGAATTACGATACACCCAGACAGGTGGGGGGGAAACCAGGGTCAAGGGTGACAGTGAATGATGTATCTCAAAGTTGGTTACACCCAGGCAGTGCTGGCATGTTAACTCCCAATAAATCCTTTTTAAGTTTTGGAAGTTTGGCTCGAGACTTGTGATTTAATTGGGGGTCACTGCCGGAACCCTGACACAGCATATAAAATATATACTGAAATATAAAGCACCAGAACAGTGAATTATTTTAAAAATGCACCATACAAATGATGCATAAAATTATGTCCTGTTGTGGTCCAGTAATAAGAAGTTTTAGGGTTAACAAAATGTACGTCTCTTCCTCCCCCCCCCCTTAGATTATGATTTTTGATCTCTTTTTCAAAGCCAGTTGTTTACTTCTACTGTGGTTAAAATTTTACCTCCTTGCCGGCGTTGCATAGATTGCTCAAATTCTGGCAGAGGGATCTGAACCGAATTGGAACAAATGTTATTTATTTTGTACGATGGGGTTTCTTTTGAATTCCAGTGTGGTGGGTTAAGGTTTATAGGTCGCAGGAAACGACGGGTTGTTTTTCCACCCTGCAGCCCAAGTTGACCTCATAAAATTGTTTTGTTTTGCTGCTGTTGTTTTTTTGGGGGGTTCCTCAAACCCCCTCCTCCAGGTTACATCCCCCTGCATGTGGCCATTCTACGGAAAGATTTGGGCATGGTGAGCCTCTTAATCTCTGCAGGATCAGATCTCAACAAACCGGTTAGTTTTATGAACTCTCCAAAAAAAATAAAAAATCTGTGTCAATTTCATTCTGTTTTTAAAGGAAGGGAACCTCGATGTTAGGTTTAAACAGGCTGGGAATTCAGATAGAAAAGTGGGAGAGAAATCGGGTAAAAAAAACCCAAATTATTACAGGTAATCCTCACCTTGTTGACTGTTAATGGAGCCTGCCCGTTATGGTCGTAAGTCACCGTGTTTGTAAAACAGGTGATCACCTGACTGACCCGATTTGATGACCTGTTTTGCAACGGGCATTAAGCAAATCAATGAGTGGTGCGGTGGCCTCACAATCAAGAGTGACTGAGTTCGATCCTTAGGTAGAGGCAGATATTTCTCTGGGCACAATGAGAATATCTCTGCTGAAACAAAACTCCACCCTGGCGACAGGAAGGGCATCTGGCCATTAAAACACACTCTGCTAGCTCCATTCAGTTTCCCAGACTCCACCCCGCAAGGGATGATGGAGTCATTAAATGAATATGATTAAGCAAATCAGCATGGTTATTAAGTGAATCCATGGACATTAAACCCTTTGGGGGCGGTTTTTACCCAAAACCGGAAGTGAACACCGGGTTTTGTCAGAAATGTCGTAAAACACGGTCATGGGACTGCGGGATGCTGCCAGAGATCATAAACACAGGCCAGTTGCCCAGCCTATGAAATCTGATTATGTGACTACAGGGAGTGGGTTGGCCATCAAAACGCGAGGACCAAGTCCTAAATATCTTCCGGGGTCTGTTATAACTTCAAATGGTCGCTAAGCAACCTGTCATGAGTCGAGGACTGCCCCTGTTAAGCATAACTCCGTTTTGACCAGTGGAAGCTGACGTGGACGTCGGGTGAGGAGGTGGGCAGTCGAGTAGGGGAAGGAGTTGCCAGAAGCTGGGGGCGGCGTTAAAAGAGGCATGAGCCTAGAATCCCTGTGTAGCCACAAGGGGACTTAGCGCCTATGCTGGGATTCTAGGCTGATCCCTCTTTCAACGCCACCTTCTACCACTTCTGCTACGTTGTTGTTGTGAAACTATTTCTCAACTAGGAGAGCTTGAAACTCATTTTGAGTGCATGGCGCTAATTCGTTGCCTGAATATTTCCCCACTTGTTGTAACTGGAGCATCCAATCGGGATTCGCATGGACGCCTTCAATTGACAAGCGGCTGTTGCCTTGCAGGAGCTAAGTTGTGGCCGGAGTCCTCTCCACCTCGCGGTGGAATCCCAGAGCCCCGAAGTAGTGGAATGCCTCTTGCGTGCAGGAGCGGACACAGAGGCACGCATGTACGTGGGCTACACGCCCATGTACAGCGCCGTGCACCGTCCTGACCAAAAAATCCCACAGCTCTTACGGGAATTTGGTTCCGAGGAGCCGGAGTGGGATTCTGAGGAGAGTGTGGACAGTAACAGCGAGGTGAGTGCGATCGCAAGGGAGAGGCAGGCAGTGAGACAGGCCACTTGGCGCTCTGTGGGGGGGGGAGGGGAGTAAGTAAGAAGGAAGGAAGGAAGGAAGGAAGGAAGGAAGGAGTCAAGGTAGGTGGGAGGAAGGAAGGAGTCAGACAAGGAAGGAGTCGGAGGGAGGAAGGAAGGAGTCAGATGAGGAAGGAAGGAGTCAGACAAGGAAGGAAGGATTCGAGGGAAGGAAGGAGTCAGACAGGCTGGAAGAAAGGAAGGAAGGAGTCGGAGGGAGGAAGGAAGGAGTCAGGTGAGGAAGGAAGGAGTCGGAGGAAGGAAGGAATCGAGGGAAGGAAGGA